TGGCGGTCCTGGCGGGGGGGCTCCATTCGTGTCTCCGCGGTCACAGGCCGCTGCCTGGAGCGGGGCTGACAGGGCTGGCGTGTCCCGGAGCGGGTTGGGTGTTCGCTTGAGCTGTGGCCGAAAGGAAGCCAGTCCTTATGCAGTAGGTGACTCTGGAGCTGGCCAAGGTGCAAGGGGCCTGTCTCCTCATCAGTGTAGCTGCTGGCTGTGCCGGCACAGCAAACCACCCTGGGGAGCTTTCCCGGTGCGAGTTCTCGCTTTTGCCATCAAAAGGGGTCCGGGCGGGACTGAATGGGGTGTCTGTGCAAGATAAGTATAAGAGACAGAGAAGACCGTATTCAAAAATAAGTATGGTGTCTATGGGAAGGAAGACCCATCTTGCTCCTAAAAACAATGACTTTGATAACGTTTGTGGCTGGAAGTGTCTTAAAATGATATATGTGTCTCTAATGCTTTTGTGTTAATGCTAGAGCTCGCTGTAACATCTAGGTATTTAAAGAGACAGCTGTTATGTTACTAGTATCTTTGATCAAGTCAGAGGCTGTTATCTAATATGTATCTAGTATGGGCAAGTGTCTCTTGTTCTCAAGTACTGATCCTAGCTTTTAAATTTAACTCTTGTGGAGTAAACTTGCTGTTTATTATTTGTTTAGTTTCCAGGCTTGTCTTTATCTGTTTCTCTCAAAAAATCTAATAAGCAAGATGTCTACTAATGAGAATGCCAACACAGCAGCTCGATTGAACAGATTCAAGAACAAAGGAAAGGATACTACAGTGAGTATTTTGAAGTAATTAGTACTTGGGCTAGCCATCACCTCCTTAAACAAGAGTCATAAAAGCCAAGAACTTACTATGAATGAATTTTCCTCCAGGAAATGAGAAGGCGGCGTATTGAAGTCAATGTAGAGCTGAGAAAAGCTAAGAAAGATGACCAGATGCTTAAAAGAAGAAATGTTAGCACTTTACCAGATGATGCTACTTCTCCCCTTCAGGAGAACAGGAACAATCAGGTAAGTAGGCACTCGGAACAGGCACATTTGGAGGTCTTGCAATATAAGC